GCCGGATAATAACAGCCACGTTTGAAGCACAGGGCTCACCTCTTTCCTTTATTTGTGCATATGCACCTCACAGCGGACACACTATTGAACAGAAAGAGGAATTCTACGACCAACTATCCACAGAAGTGTCGCGAATAAAAGGGCGCTTCTTGATTGGAGGAGACTTCAACGCCCGTATTCATTACGTTAGAGACAACGATATCGATGTATGTGGACCACATATCATAGGCAGAGGAATGGAATATCTAGATAACATGAATGAACATACAAAAGAAAATAGGGCACTTTTCCTTGGGTTTTGCAAATCACACCGCCTTCAAGTTGCAAACAGCTTGTTTTCGAAACCGCCTGAAAAGTTAGTCACTTACAAGGAAAAAGTCCATATGGATGAAAACGAAGAATACAATGGCCCCCCATATGACGCAATAAAATATGCACAGATCGATTACTGGCTCTGTGGGCAGATCGAGCAAAGAGCAATATCAGATATCCAAAGTAGATTAGATGTTCGTTTTGATTCAGACCATTTTGTGTTGGAATGCAAGCTCAATATTTCTTTCCCTACATTTAAAAAGGATAATGCGCCACGTACGTCGCGATATGCGAAACCTGACTCAGACAGATGGATTTTCTACAATAATAACATTCGGTCTTTGCTAGAGGGGAAAAGATGCGACTTGGATTCACTCACAGAGGCCATGAAAAACGCGGCCGCAAGCTCACTAAGGATAGAACCTCCGAATAAAACGGAAAAACATATCCGTCAAAGTACTTGGGCAAAAATTGAAGAGAGAAACGAAAAGGCCCGAAACGGAACCACAGCAAAGGAAATAACGAACCTCAACAGGGAAATTGCCCGAATGGCCCGGAGGGACAGGCAAGACCATTTGATAGAACAATTCAATGAGAACCCCCAAGATCCCAATAAGAAAGGTTTATGGAGAGCGGTTAAGGGATTAAAAAAGAAATTCATACCCAATTATGTGAAAATGAAGAACATGGATGGTCAGCATGTCCCTTTGGCCCAACGCGCTGAGACTATAGCGAACTATCTAGAACAAAAACACTGGAGCAACCAAGCTGAAGACGAAATCAACCACAGCAAACTTGTAGATAGCAACGATGCAGGAGTAGAGAGTTTCACAATACAAGAGCTCTGTGCAGCCATCAAGGCGGCAAAGCCCAATAAACAACCTGGCCCTGATGGTCTAACTATGGAACTGATCAAGTGGCTGGACAATGCCAACCGGCGGGTTCTTTTATCTGTTATCAACAGCTGGTGGAATACAAAAACTGCGCCGTCGGCATTGTTCATGGCCCGTGTTGTCCCTATCTTCAAGAAAGGGGATACAGATATTGCTTCCAATTACAGACCAATCTCCTTATATAAAATATACATGGTGATGATCAGGACCAGAATGCAGGCAGCCACAGAGCATCTACTGTCTAAAACCCAGTACGGCTTCAGGCCCAGCAAGTCTACTTCACATGCCATCTATATTCTCAGACGAATTCAAGATTATTCCGAAATTAAGGGGGCGAAGCTGAGCATTGCCTTCCTAGATTGGGAAAAAGCATTCGATAAAATTCAACATGACAAGCTTCTTGTTGCCCTTGGCCGACTGGGTTTCAATTCGCAGTATACAGAAGTCATCGCAGACTGTTATGCAAAGCCTCAGTTTTATGTCAAGGACGACTTCCGTTGTTCCGATTTTAAAGTTCAATCCTCTGGGATCCGACAAGGTTGCCCACTGTCACCTTTCCTATTTGTATTAGTCATGACCTGCATCGACATTGACATTCAACAAAGTATTTCCGCTTATGTGACAAATAATCGAATCCCAGGGGTTAATTTTGACATGATCTATTATGCAGATGACACTGTACTTTTCTCACGGAACAACCGAGCATTAAACGAATTGCTGAAATTGACAGAGAAAATCTCCAGTGGATACGGACTTGGTCTCAATAAAAACAAATGTGTTGCTATCACTATGAACAACGACGGTTGTATTCATTTTCATGACGGGACCCCTTTGAACAAAGAATTTGAGGCCATGTATCTTGGAAATGAGATAAACAGGACAGTAAATATAAAACATGAAATCCTCAATAAAATGTCAGAGGTCAGAAGGACCTGGTTCAAGCTCAGCGCCTATTGGAAAGCTTCTGGAGCCAGCAAAAAGTGGAAGCTAATCATTTTTGATGCCATAATCCGGAGTAAGCTTTTATATGGGTTGGAAACTATACATTTAACCCAGGCGCTAAGCAAATCACTAGATGCTTTCCAATTAAGAAGCTTGAGAAAGATTCTCAAAAGACCGCCTACTTTCATAGATCGGTCATGTACGAATCAAAAGATTCTTGAGGAAGCAACTGCCATTGCCTTCCCAACTCGGGGCGATAACAGACAAATTATACGTTTCAGTGATTACCATATGAACAGAAGATGTAAATTACTTGGGCATATAATTAGAAGCAGTAATGATGACCCCATGAGACAAGTATCATTCGTTGATAGCACTGCATCCAGAGTTGATTACGGCACCAAACGAGTTGGGAAACCGAGGCAAAACTGGCTGCATATCACAAAGAAATTTGCACACGAAAACGTTTTGAGACATCATAATTTCGATGAAAACACCGATGATGCAAGAATATATGCAGCCGCATTGAACAGAGATTTTTAATTACCGTTCTTTGGCTGTGCCAACGCCTTGCAATAAGCCCGTCCGGGCCAGGTCGGCGCGAGGTATGGCTGGAAAAAAAAATGAGTACTTAACTAAGTAAGTAGTTACAATAGTAAGTAGTTAGGGTGGTGGTTTACCATAGCAGTTGCTAAAGAAACAAGGAGGTTTTGTGAGGTCTTACTTGGCATGAGGAACTGTGAGGTCTTGACCTTCTTGTTTTGATATCCTTTCAGGTACTAGAAAGGTAACGGTAAAGAGCCTTTCTTTAATAAAGTTGCCCTTTGCGTTCTCTTCTTCTTCTTCTTCTTGAGGCAATCTTCCAGGCTATTGGCCTTCACCTTTTGGACAACGCCATGAATGCGTGAGCCCTTTGGAGTCGAGGTCTCCAGGATGAGTGCCGAGTCCGAGAGGAATCGATAGTAAAACAAATAATAGACGAAAGGCGATTGCCCGTTCGCTCTTTAAACTAGAGGCGATTTAGATTTGTTTTTGCAGTCAGAAGTCAGAAGCACAGCCAGGTACAATGGCTGTATTTTCGCCTATGGTCAGACTGGCTCTGGCAAGAGCCACTCGATCATGGGCGATGTACACAACGAGGCGGCCCATGTCCTCCCTTACAGCCCGAACGTGTTCAAAGTTAGGAATTCCTGTGCTGTCCTTTGTGCTCTAGGACGAACAAGGAATCCTACCACGTGCTTGTACCCGCCTCTTCAGCGTGCTGGAGCGACAGTGAAGCTTTGTGCAGTGATCGGATCCGTCTCCCATGACAATTTTTTGGCAATTTACAGCATGGACCGCAGAGATGACTTACAACTATAAAAAGCACTCTGTATGAGGTTAAGATGCTTGAGGAAATCATGCTATAGCAATTTTGACAAAATCATTCTTGGCCTTACTACTAGGAGCAAGAAGCTACTAGGGGCTCCTGGCCTCGCTACTAGG